GCAGAGCCGGCTGCACTCGCTGCCGCAGCACTACCAGGGCGCGGGCGCGGGCGTGAACGGCACGGTGCCCCTGACGCACATCTAGCGCCCGGAGGGGACGCGGGGGGTCCGGACCCACGGCCCCGCCCGCGGGGGGGTGGTGGCGCGGACTGGCCCGTGGCCGGCTTTCCAGAGACGCCTGTACAGTATTTATCGTCCGCGGAGCCGACGCGGGAGGAGACCAGAAGGACGGTCCGGGCGTGGCCGCGCCAACTTTTGTACCCAGGCCGGGGTTGCAGACTTGCCTCCCCACCGCGCTTCCGTGGGCTCGGCCCGGGCCCTCCGCTCGCCGCTCGCGGGGCACCGCGGACACCCGGACACTCCCGTCCCGTAATCCTCGCTGCTCTTCTGGGTTGGTTTGTTAATTTATACAGAGCCCCCCCCCCCCACGGCAGAGCTCTATTCTGGGTTTTGTAAAACTTCTGTATCTGAGCATTCCCTCTTTTTTCATTTGGTTTTTGTATTGTTTCTTGTAAATGCGTTGTGAAATCTTTATTTTAGGTGGTGCGGGGAGGAGCCAGACGATGTACATAGTTTCCTACGAGCCTTTCATCAAAACGCGAGAACAGATGCCCTCTAAACATGCGTATCGGTCAATAAATTTGAGAGGAAAAAGCAAGGCCGTTTTCTCATCGGATCGAGACGGGCTGATTCTGTGTGCATGTTTTATGAGTCCGACATACGATCCAGCAGTTCGCTACAGGGTAAGGGACGGCCAGTCCCGAGAGGGTGTGAGCGGCGGGGTCGTCGTGAGCTTTCTCCAAAGGGAAGGGGGAGACCGTTAAAAACCCGCAGGTCATTGTGTAGAACCAAAGTGTTCGTCCAGAACAAGAACTACGCGACCGTCTCCGCCTGGCCTAGCGCTCCGGGACTGCCCTAGGCATGGTGCATTTTGCCTTTTCTGGCCATGGCTAGGTCCCTCTGCCCGGTGGACCGGCCGTCTTCCAGGCTTCTTGGTCCCGAAGCGGGACTTGGATTACCCGGTGGCGGTGGGGACCAGGCCAAGGACGGGACAAAGACCACTTCCAGGGCAAGGCTGCTTCGTTCCCGGGCAAGTAGGATTGCAAGCGGGATTTCTGGGCATCCGACTCTAGAAAGCAATTGGCTGAACCAAAATGCAAGGCCACCACACATCCTCCCCATGTCCCCAGCCCCTCCCTCCTTGGGACAGTGCAAGATAATGCAGGTTGTGGCTCACACACAAATCGTCCACCACCTCCCCTGGTGAACGAGGTTGCCAGTGGCCAACCCATGTGAACGCACACGGTGGCACTCCGTTCCAGGCAAGGTCTTGAGAGTGTTTGATGCTTTACATTTTTAAATTATATTTTTTCCTAAGTGTTTCTTGGGCCACTGCAGTTTTTCTGGACTTTAAAGTTTTCTGTAAAACTTTGTCTTCAAGTAATCCGACAGCATTAAATGTTGCATTGGAAAGCTATCCTGCAGCACTGCATTTTGAAATTATAATGCTAAAATGAAATTCTTACTTTTTGAAGGGAAAAAAACCCTTTTAAATCCAAATTGAAATACCCCATTTTTAGCAGCCTTGGGACTCGTTTCTTTTTTCTTTTTATCTTTTCTTGTTTTGGAATGAGTGTGGCTGTCCATCCATTCAGAAGTGAGCCTAGCTGTTCATTTGGTAAAAACGGAAGCCAGCCCGCCTGCATCTCAAGGCAGCTTTGGGTAGAATGTTAATCTGACCGTTCACATCCGCGAACTTTCAAAGTCATTTTGATAATTTTGTGTAAGTCATTCGTTAAAGAGGTTCCAGAAACCAAGAATAAAAAAATAATGTCTGCTTTCTAACAAGGTATTTTTTAAAGCCCCTTTTTTATTTCTTTCAGGGATTTGGCGGTTTTGGAGGGATAACAGTTGTTTCTCTGTTTTCTGGCCTTTGGCTCGCTGGGGGGGGGGCGCAGAGGGGGCAGAGGGGCTGGGAGCCAGTGCCGGGCCGGACGGGGGTGGGGGGCGGGCAGGCCGAGGTGTGGGGGTGGGGGTCCGGCAGTCCTGGAGAACTTCACTTTGCCGGTGGGACCAGAGCCTCCGGGGCCGGGCCGTTCGCTCCCTGAACTGCACCACCGGGAAGGCCCCTCCCTGGCTGACTCCATCTCCTCGTCTCTCCGCCCTGGCTTCCCGGAATCCAGCGGCCGTGGCTATGCCCCGTCCTGGGCACCTCCGCCCTTAAGAGTGGCAGCTAGGCAGGATCC